AGCAGACAAATTGTGGATGACACACACAAACTGGCTTGTAAATGTCACTTAGTTTAGGTTTTAACATGTACAATGTGAGAAATTGTTTTAAAAATACAGTATTCTGAACTGTAATGCATTGTTTTTGATGAATAAAGTTTAAAAAATGCAAAAGCTGATGCCTTTGAAGAACATACCTACTGTGCAGTCTTGTGGTATAATATAGTTGTTGTTTTATTTTCATATCACCCGAACGACACACTGTGTTACATCGTAACGATACTGTAATATTTTTGGGAAAAATAACCTGCATATTAAGGTAATGCAGTGGAGAAAAAACATATTTCCTGCTGGCAAATCTAGACTCTTGTTGCAGCGTTAGGAAGTGTAAACTCTGCTTGGTTGAGTACAAAATAGACTTATTTTTATCGACCCACTCTCTCCCTACTGTCTCAACAGAGCTGCTGGAATTGTGGGAGGAAAGCCAGCGAGACGTGCAGCGGCTGCAACACAGCTCGCTACTGTGGCTCCTTCTGCCAACACAAAGACTGGGAGAAGCACCACCACGTCTGTGGTCAAGGCCTTCAGGGGCTGCCAGGGGGCAGCAGTGTCCCTCTAGGAACCCCCTCCTCCAGCTCCTCCGCCTCCTCCAGCGCGCCCCCAACTCACTCCGAGCGCACTCCTCCAGGACCCCTGTCACTCGCAGCCCAGAGCAGTATTGCGGGAGGGGCCGGCAGCGGCAGCGGAAGTGTTTCTGCCAGCCCCAAAGAGAGCAGTTCCAGCAGTGCCTCTCGCTCCACAACTCCAGCCACCCCCGCACTACTGGATGCCACCTCTCGCTGACGTCTGAACTTCGTCCCTTCCCTGCATACTGAAGTGACAGCGCTCACACTCCACACAAAACCAAACTGAGGAATCTTCATCGCAAACTGCTCCAGTCCCCTCCTTTACCTCTTATTTCCATTATATCCCGATCTGTAACATCTTCTCTTTAACCTGATGATGGACTTGTTTCCTCACCTTCCTCCAGAATACTTTCTCTTTTACAGCCACAGATACAAAGATTGTGGTCTGGGGTTCAATGTAGTGTAAAGCATGACGAGTGCAGTGTCTCCTTTCTCTGTTGAAGAAACATATCAGATGTGTTTGCTGAGAACATGAGCTTTGACTTGAAGATTTGCCCTCAGTAACGTAAGCATGGTAAATAATGTCCACTATAAGGGCTGTGAGGAGGCAGCATCAATGGGGGATGACTAGGCCGATTAGCACCTGGATAGGATTTCCCTTTAATTTAGCACCAATGAGATGAGCCCTGAGATGTGCACTAACAGTCCAAACAGTTCCCAGATGTGGGACTTTTTCTAGTATCCTATTGGAGAAAGGCAAGGAGCATAATACCTTTTTTGTTATTTTTGAGGGAAGGGGTAAAAGTTGGGATGCGATTAATTCCTCAGAAACACAGCTTAGTATTTATAAAAGTTCTTTTCTGGCTTTAAGGGAAAACAAAGAGAAGTCCAAATATTCTAAATAAAGAATAATAGCGATGATGCTGATGTTGATTATGATAACAGTAATGATATGAAAAAAATAACTTAATTTTGAACTGCTAACTACCTTGCTAGCGAGCCAAGAAAATCTACACCGGACTCACCTCTCTGCACCATTATGAACCCAAATGATTTCAAAGATGAAAAATAACATGATCCAAACCTTTGTATTACACTGCCAAAGTGAGTAAGTAAGCGATAAAGAGAAGCACTCATCTTGTAACCAAACACAAAGCAACATCACCTCCTCAGCAGATAAGCCAGCCCTGAGACGACCGGGCTGCAGAGGAGCTGCAAAACGGGACCCAGAGACAGCAAACTGTGACCTGCTTTGATGTGCAGCTGCCTCCTGCAGTCTGGGTAAAAGTACAGCGATTCCTCAGAGACGGCCCAGACTAGTGAATATGGACAATGCTCTGAACTTACCTACAAGAAAGACTTAATGAAATAGATGGAAACCCTGCAACAGTGTGTTTTTGTTTAAATGGTAGAGAGGACAAAGAGGAAGGAAAAAAGCTACACAGCCTCAAAGGAGACGATGGTGTGTACATGGCAAAGGAGCTGCCGAAACAGAAAAAAAAAACCTCAACACAAGCTTGAAAACATTGTCCAAGATGGCATTACAAACTATGGAGATACGTGGAAGGATTGTTTGTAAGTTTTTGTTGTTTTTTGTTTTGTTTTTAATTTACGCTCCACAGCGAGGAGATCTTTGAAGGAATTACCTTTACATTCACTCCCTCCTTTTCCAAAGCATGATAAACACAAGACAGAGCCTAAAAAAGGGCGGTGTAGACTTTGTTCTCCTTTCTCTTTCTACCTCCCCTCACCCCTCTCCTCCCTTCCATGTTCTTCCCCAACTACTTGACTCACATGTGCCCTACCCCTCCGCTGGCTTTGGACAGAGAGCAACAAAGCAAGCCCCACGGGTAGGGCTGAACCCGCTTGTAGATATCGTTCCTCTCTTCATTTTTCAATAATGTCTCTTGTTGCTGATGTCCACACGTGCTGCCCTTGTGTATATCCGGAAAGACGGACTTTTGTTTTTGTTTTGCTACCTTTCACTTTCCTCCTTTGAGTTCGGGTTGAGCAGTGAAGACAGAGCAAGGACGCTTTTGTTTATGAGAGGAAGGCCTGCATTGTACTTATTGTTTGATTTGTTGAATCTATATCAATGAGATGGAAACCCCTCTTGTAGAATATTTTGTATTGCTCGCATTGTAAGACAGTGAGAGGACGGAGGTGCAATATGAAGAGAATTCAGCTACTGAATGGAACCTCAGCAACTGCCCATAGGGTGTCATATAATATAGATACATATAAATATATTTAAAGTAACATCAGTAACTTAATGTGAATGTACATAGTATTTAAAGAGGTCCAAAAATGTGTTTGCCAAATAACAGAAACCTTTAAAGTTTAATGTCCAGATTTTTTTTCACAGTACATTTGTTTTTAAAATTGATCAAATTTCTTTTCTCTCATACAAGTTAAACACTTTTTCAATTTTCACTCAAATCAAAGTGTCATGTGACTCCGAGTGGAGGAAACTGTTGGCAACAGTGGCAAAACAGCTCTGCATCCTGCAGTAGGTGACTCAACAGTGTGTATTAATAGAAAGGCTCAGTGGTAACTCAATTAGTTTGTTTTTTTCTTCTCATTTACACCAATTTTTGGAAATGTCATACTTGACACATCACGTCAAGCACTCAGTTTCTTACCAGCCGTTTAGCTCCAGCGCCCCTGTAGTGATCCTCTCTCTCTTGGTCCCCATCAGTCTGCGTGCATGTGGTTAACAGTGTTTGTTTCTCCCATGGTGCAGGATTAAGCGATACGCCAGTGTTAAGCTACAGTACATGACAAATCTAATTTGATACCCAATCTTTAAAATGTTGTTCTTTACTCCTCGCTGCTTATTGTTCATTTGTAAAGAAACAATTTGAGTATAAGCTGCTGACCTGGGGGTGGGGGTGGGGTTGGGGGCAGGTCTTTAGTTTCAGGCCAAGAGAGTAGCACGACTTCTTTCGCGCTGTTTTTTCTTTTCCAGGCTTTCCCACACGCCTCAGCAATAAGGTTAACACGAGAATACTAAACAGTCAAAAAGCCTTGAAAAAAATGTGTGTGCATATTTTATATTGATTATTGTATAGCTTACATGCTTGGCGTCCTTTGCTTGGACCAAATGGGGAAAAAAGAGTAACTTTGTTTTTGCAGTTGGGGCATGGGAAAACAAAAACTCTTTGTTACTTTTTAGTTTTTGTTGGATTGATTTTTTTTTGACTATCTGAGACCATATTTCAAATGACATAAGCTGCAAGGTACCCCTTCATTCGTGTGTAGCATTTATGTATGTGTGTTAGAATTACCATGTTAAGGCGCTGACCTCAGCCTATTTTCTTTTTCTGTGACTTGTTCCTTTTACCCTGATGTCGAATTCCTCCACTACTACCACAAACCACTGCTCACAACCCTCCCTTCACACTAGCTACCTCCTGTGACCATACAGCTAACCACTAGGAGAGGTTAACCTGGACTTTGAAAAGCTGGGTTGAGAGCAGACATGGACACACACACACATGCCCGCTCAAAAGTTGTCATAAAAGGAAATAGCGTTGTAGAGAACTGTCTTTACTCATAATGTTTAAATCTATTTATTCCTCTCAGACCCTAGTGTCTCTCTTTTTCTTTTTCTTTTTTAAAGTTTTAAAACACATCCCACTAAAAAACTGATACTGCTAGAATTTAGTAACAGGCACACATGCAGTCAGACCTCCGTATTACCAAACCGATCAGAGAATTGACCATGACATGCCATTTGTTGTCCAAAACCAATAAAAGCACAGACCAAAGTACTCCTGTATTGCCATAGTAGGTTCTGAAATGGTGTGAATCAGCAGACCAGAAGTAATAAAGGTTAGAGCTCAGCTACACCAGTTAACCAAAGTGTCTGAAATACACACGCTCAGAGCCCAGGAGTGAAGACCGCCCTCAATGAACCGGCTGAGTTTCAGAAGTGTAGAATTATTATTCAAGCAATCAAAGCGCTTGTTGTCTACATACTGAAAAGTGCTTCTGTAAAAATAATAGAAGCCTCTCCTTTCAAACAGCCTACTGATTGCGTGTTCTTACAGTCACAAAGCCTTGCAGAGATAAAAATGAATGCATGGTGTGTGTGCGTGTGTGTGCATATGGTTGTGTGTGTGTGTGTTTTTGTAAGTCTTTTTTTCTTTATGTCTCTGTACAAACTACTTGAAACCTTCAGAGCTTTAATGAAACATCCCAGGCCGTGTACAGTGGCACATTGATTCACAGTATGTAGCAGCAGCTTTTTGCAGTACAGTGACACGTTTTTCTATAACATCCACATCCACGCAACATTGTGGCGGCAGTTCCGTTCATCTTTCGAGCGCGCTGCTCGTGTGTGTGCCTCCATGTCTGTGAGTAAGCCCTCAGATAAACGAAACAAAGCCAAACCCAACAGACCATTATAAATGACCAAAACACAACCAAAAGCTACAACCATCTCAGTTCAATTTCGCTTTGGTTCTAATTTTTGTGTTATGTCCCAGCAGTAGAGAACGTCAGCTGTGATTGATTGCGTGAGATATGAGACTGCAGTTCGAATCTGCACAGGAAAGAGCAAAATTGTCCTTCACTCCTCCTGGGTTCAGTGGACAGTAGGATACAGAAGATCAGCTGGGGTAATGAAACAAATGCAATTAGTGCATTAGTGCTGTGGTGTCATTTACTTTTCTCTGTGAAGATATTATATATGGCAAACACATAAGGGCTCTGCTGTTGTGAATACCATCCAAGGGTCTCCAAACACTTTGCATTGGCCATGTGTCTTATTTGTTTAACTATGTACATGATATGGGCAAAACACATGTTTAGAGAAGACAGATATTAGCAGGTTGGTGTTTGTTCCTCCCAACTCCAACCAGAGAAGCTTCAAAGCTCATCAGATGTGACGCTGACTTGTCCTTCCTGTGAAACAGGCTCCAATATATAGCTACAGTAGAAAGCTAAGGTGGCAAACAGTGGATACAGAACTTGTTTTCCCAAAAGCCATGGCTCAGGATGGTCTTGTTTTTATCTTTGCATAAACTGAATAAAGGTTTATGGTTTTTTATGTGTAGGGAAGCATTCTATACTGTAATGTGCAATACATTATTACAGAAAAACATGTTTCTGTAGGAAAGGATGGCGCTTTGAAGATCTTTTCCCTTTTGTTTAATTTCCCTCTTCAAACGGTCCTGTTGCCATTTTTAGATGAAGTAAACTGTGCCAGAAGAATTCAATTCTTATTTGTATTTATTTCTTGCATGCTTTCCTCCCTGTTGCTAATACCGCTCTTTAACTGTTCGCTCTGTTGGATGTGTGAAGCTGTAAAACATTCTAATTCAGGTTATTGTCTGTGTTGAACAATGTAACTGTGTAATTAAAACATGAAATGAAGTATTCATTGCTGTTCTCTCTTGTCTTTTTCAAATGTGGGAATATTCTAAGATTACATGCCCAGAAAATGAAATTGATCCATTGTTATTAAATAATTATTAACACAGTCTCATCATCCCAAATGTTGACATATCACCAAAAAATCTAGACATACCATGAAGATTATGTAAGTATATTACAACAGTGACACACAAAAACATTACTAAACAACTCTGGTCTCATGTTAAAGTCACCTCTTCTACTAATTCTTCTTCTTTCGGCTGCATCACTCCATCTCCATCTTTACACCTGCCTCCATTGACCCTATTCATAGCATTTTCCCCCTGTCACACCAACCCTCTCCATGTCCTCCTTCACTGCATCCATGAATCTCCTCTGTGGTCTTTTCCTCCTGCCTGGCAGCTCCATCTTCAACATCCTTTGTCTGGTCTTCCTGTTTATTATTTCATCTGCACATGTCCAAATCATCTCAGCCTTGCCTCTCTAACTCTCTCCAGACTGCTCAACCTGAGCTGTCCCTTTCTACCCCACCAGCTGTTTTTTTTTAGGTCTTTTGTGCACTGTCCGTTGGTTTGGATTTTATACTAAAGCAAATGTAATAGTCTGAGTAAATCTTATTATACGTTTAACCTCTTCTGAATCACCTGCTAGGTTTTTAAAAAAAATCTATTTCTTCCCTTCTTATAATGAGGCACACGGTGGACAGGTCTGTCAACAAATCTAATATTTGCCCAGGTTCAACAACACAAGAGACCAATCAAATTGTAGTGATGTCATAGTTTTGTAACGTGGAAACACCATAACACCACATACAAAACTAGGGATGGGTATCGTTTAGGTTTTATCCGATACCGGTGCTAAAACGGTACTTTTGAAACGGTGCCGGTGCTCAAACGGTGCTCAAACCGGTGCTTAAAGAATGGAGAACACAAAATTGGTCCAAAAACCTCTCATGTTCAGCTGTTTTTTGTAAAAATATAACAATGTTAGCCTTTTCTGCAGCTATGGGGCATATATGGTATCACTCTTGGCTAGAAGCAGTGCAATGGAAAAAACACAAACTTTGTCCTAAACCTCTCATGTTTAACTGTTTTCCACTTTTTCTTTGGTCATTTTAGCCTTTTTAGCCAGGGTGAAGGGAGTATCTGCCATCAAACAAGAGGACAGCCGCATGTAGCTATGATGATGTTTGCTAGTTCACCTTACATGCATTAATGTAATAACGTGGTTAGCCTACTCAACCTAAATTCGATACTCACGCAGAGAAGAACGGCTGCTGCCACCATCATCCGTCATCATTTCTGCTACACTGGCAGGGCTAGGGGCCAGGACTCTCCTCTTCGTGTTTTTGGGGGATGTTGCATAACAGGCAACCCACCCGCAGTAGATGTGCTCGGTGTGAGGTCTCGCAGCAAGCTATCAAATACGGTGCATTTCTGGGCTTTTAAAAAAACCGCTATGCGTCGCCAGGTGTTTCATCATATTTGAGGTGTTACTTCCTTTGACAGTATCACAGTATCAGCTTAAAGCACTTGTTGCAGGCTGCTGAGTTTGCATCTTTTGCTGTGAAGTACAGCCAGACTTTTGACCGCTTCGCCTTGGACATTTTTAATCTGTAGCTCTGCTCTAACAGAACGTACGTACCTGGCCCCGCCTACTATCCTCGGAAACGTAAAATGATTGGCTAGAATCTAAAGTGTATCACAGCTCAGGAAAAAAAGCACCGAAATAAAGCACCGAAATGTGCGCTGCTTTTCGGTCTGGTTACTACCGTTTATGTCAGAACCGGTGCCATCATGGCACCGGACACCGGTACCCATCCCTATACAAAACATAAGCCTAATCCGATAGAATCATACTATAGCCCAGTAACCCTAAACCCATTCATGATCACATCCCAACCCCCATCCATAACCTTGACCTTAACTGACCCCGTTTTTGGATATTTTTTTTCCCTCAGTGGGCATCGGCAGTTTTTTTCCAAGTTGCAAAGCTATGACACCTTAACAAAGTGATTGGTCAGATGCAATGTTGATCCTGGACTTGCCTCCCTACATCTAAACCGCTGAACTTTATTTTACATTTTTTAAGGTTATCCAAACCTTCCCAGGGCTCCTGTAGAAATGACATTAATGACACTCCATGTATGAGTTTTTTCTTCCCTCCATCCGGTCACGGCATATGGCCACCCCTCCCTGAGCCTGGTTCTGCTGGAGGTTTCTTCCTGTTAAAAGCGAGTTTTTCCTCTCCACTTTCACCAAAAGCTTGCTCATCAGGGGTCGTCTCATTGTTGGGGTTTGCTCTGTATTATTGTAGAGTTTTTGTCTTACGATATAAAGCAACTAGAGCCAACTTTTGTGTGTGTGTGTTTTAGCGCTACATAAATAAAGCTGAACTGAATTAAACAGCTGGAGCAGGTTATGCAGTCTGTCAGTGTGACTTAAAAGAAGAGGACTGAGAAAAGGGAAAAGAAAAGGTCAATGTATGTTAATGGAAAAACCAAACAACAGACACCTTTTTACTGCAGTTTCTTTCTATATTTTCTTAATTTTCAAATGACACATTTTGTATGTGGCTATGTTTATTAAAAGCTGCAAAACCTCTCCCCACCATTTACTCTTATTTAGTTATTTCTTCTCATATGTTTAACTGGTGTTATGTCAGAATATTTGTGGTATTTCCGAGTGGTTCCTGAACATAAACTCAACAGATGAGGCCTTTTTCACTGGAGAAATAAAATAATATGTAA